TATATATATATATATATATATATATATATATAGGACTAGATTATATACTTGACAAATAATAATAATATTTAAAAATAACTCTGGTAGTTAAAATGAACATACTGATTTTGCCTTCTGGCCTTCCCTTAAACATGAGACCTTATTCTGTGTCCAGGCACTATTTTATTTTAGGTCCTAGAGAGTCAACAATGAATAAGACAAATTACTTATAGTCTATCTACAGTGTTTCATAAAAAAGTTGGTATACCCCTATTTGATGTTTGTGAAAAGTGCTTATTTTATATCACTCTTAAGTATTTGGAGATTGATAATCTCTTGGAACTGTCTTTTTGAAAAATTTTTTAGATTTTATTTTTGGTGGAAATACACACAACAAAATACACGCCTTTAAAAATGTTTACATACACAGTTCACTGGCAGTGGTTACATACTTCACATTGTATCACCATTTTCCCTGTCTGTGCTTGTATTGTTTCATCACTTTTATACTCTCTGTCCCTTAATGTTCTCGTCAGTGTTTTAGAGTTACTGTTGTCCATTTAATCTCACATAAATATTTCTTTAAAAGAGCACCATGCTCAGGGGGAACATTTCTTTTTTAAATGAACTTAATTGTTTAGTTTGAAGATGACTTCATGGGATAGTTTCAGTTCAAGGCTTAAAAGTTGTTTCTAGGCAATAGGTTGTTGTTTCTAGGCAATAGGTTCAGGGGTTCCTCCGGTCTCAGTGTATCCAGTAAGTTGGGTTTCCATAAGAATTTGAAGTTCGGTTCCACATTTTTTCTTCCTTTTGATCAAGATCCAGCCATTAGATCCTTGATCAAAATGTTCAATGATGATAGGCTGGCACCATCCATTTCTTCTTGTCTCATGACAGAGGAGGTAGTAGTTTATAAAGGCAGTTAGACCTGCAGTCCATTTCCTTCTCTGATTCCGGGGTCTCCTTCTTTCTCTGTTGATCCAGGCAAATAGAGACCAATTATTGTATCTTGGATGGCTGCTTACAAGCTTTTAAGACCACAGGCACTACTCACTGAACAAGGAGGTGGAGCAGAAAGTCTTAAAAACAGTATTAGGCCAGCTGACTGGAGAGAGCCACAAAACCATGCCCCTAAACCTTTGAACCCAAGGAAGCTATTCCCATAAGGTGTTTATTTGTACTTAAGTAGTACAATATGGTATATAGTACAATATGATATGTAGTATCACATGATTCAGAACTGACTGGATGGCACCTAACAACAGAACAACAATGTAGTATCAACAGCTGTAGCCATTTTTTTTTTTTTTTGGCTACTGTTATTGTTGTAAAATTATATATAACATTCTACTTGCCATTTTGTGCTTCCCCCCCGCCCCCCGTGTACAGTTCAGTGATACCAGCTGCAGAAGTCCAGTTGTGTATCCATTACTCTTAGTCAGTGCCGGTTTTACCACCACTACCATAGAAGTTGGTACTTCCCAAAGAATGATTCCTCATCTCTTTCCCTCCCCCATCCCTGCTAACTACTAATAAACATTGGTTTTTATATATTTACTTGTCATTTCATATAAGTGAGACCATACAATATTTGTCCTTTTGTGATTGACTGTTTTACTCAGCATAATGTCTTCAAGGTTCATTCCTGTTGTAGCATGTTTCAGGACTTCGTTTTTCTTTAAGGCTGAGTAGTATCCTGTAGAATGTATGTACTACATTTTGTTTATCCATTCATCTGTTGAAAGACACCTCAGAACAATCTTTGTCAGCTGTATATCTTTAATTACTGACTCCTGATTTTTCCCATTATCCAGGTACTTAGCTGCCTAAAATTTTTCTAAAGTGTAATCTAAAGTGCATTTTTTTGACCATGTCCTCTACCCACATTTTGTGCCCCTCCTAACAAATTACTTCAGTCAGTAGTAGAAAAAGTGTGTGTGTGTGTGTGTGTGTGTGTGTGTGTATAGGTGTTTTGAGTATGCATAACATTGTATAAATACTCTCGGTGTTCTGTAGCTTTTTTCCATTCAACAGTATTATCTTGGAAAACTTTTCATGTCAGTGAAGTCTGCCTTAAAAAAAAAAATCCCTGATCTGTCTACTTTTCCCATCTCCTATCACCACTGCTGTTGAAGCTACCATCACCACTCACCTAGAGTATTCCGCCAGCCATCTAATTGGTTTCTTGATTTCCAGTGTTGCCCTCTTATAATCCATTTCCCACATAGGAGCCAGAGTGATCTATTCAAAACAAAAGTGAGATTGTGTCAGCCGTTTGCTGAAAACACTACAGTGTTCCTGTTAAGGTAAAATCCAAACTCCCATCCATAGAACCCTTGCCTTCTAAGGGCAATGATGTTTACCTGGTTTTGTGTTTACTGATTTTTCCCAGGTGCCTAAAAACTTTGTCTTGTGCATACTAGGTGCTCAATAAATCTTTGTTGAAAATAATTAATGAATTACTTTGGACATAGTGAGTTGTTCTGTATTTATTTCTCTATCTCATGTCATACCACTCTTCCCCCTTAACCACCTACCTTGTTCCAGCCACGTTGGCCTTTATTCTGTTGCTGGAATTAGCCAGTCTCATACCTTCTAGGCTTTTGCAGGAGCTGTTTTCTTTGCCTAGAATACCCTTCTCCCAGTTTTTCCACAGCTGGATCTTGTCAGTTCACTTTTTAGTGTAAATGTAACCTGCTCAAGAAGGTCGTCTCTGATCATGTAATCTAAAACAGTTATCTAGTCACTTTTTTTTTTTTTTTTTTACTTAATATAGTGTTAAAAATAGGTAATAAATCATGTGGTTCAAAAATTAAAAAAATGCAAAAAAGATATACCATGAAAAATTTCCCCATCTTTCACCCATCTGCCAAAGTGGTAATTATTTATATTAGTCTTTTTATTCTTCCAGAAGCTCTTTATAGCGATATAAATAAATAGCAATATGTATGAAGTAGTAAGTCATCTTAAATCAGTCTTTAAGATTGCTATTCACTGTGTTATTGACTACTTAAGCTTCCCACCTACAAATTTACCTACAATACATACTCATCCTTAATTTTTTTCCCCTTCTAGTCTCAGATTAAGGTGATTCCTGTTCAAGATTAGTTCTGCTTCCACCTGTATGGTTGGCCCCATCTAGAACATTGTTCTAGAAGTTATTTCCTTTCTTTCTGGCTCTTCATTGTTAAGTCTCTGCTGGTTCTTTGGCTTCAGCATAGCTTGGCATGTAGTAGGTGCTCAGAAAATATTAATTGACTACAGGAGAGCAATTGAGAGTTTGGACTCTTTAATTATAGAGACCTAGGTAGGCATTCTAGTTGTGTGTGACTTTGGGCAAGTTCATTAGTGTTTCTAAGCCGCAATTTCCTAATCGTTAAAATGGGACAAAAATTATACCTATTTCAAAGGTTATTTTGAAGATTTAACCAAGAAGTAGATTGTGCTAATTGCCTGTGGCTGCTGTAACAAATTACCATAAACTCGGTGACTTACAACAACAGAAATTTATTGTCTCATAGTTCAGAAGACCTAAAGTCTGAAATCATTTTCACTGAGCTGAAATCAAGGTGTCAACAGGGCCACGCTTCCTCTGGAGGCTCCAGGGGAGAAACTGTTCTTGCCTCTTCGAGCTTCTGGTAGCTGTTGACATTTGTTACTCCAATCTCTGTTTCCGTGGTCATATTTCCGCCTTCTCCTCTTCTGTGTGTAATCTCCCTCTGCCTCCATTTTATAGGGGCATTTGTGATTACTCAAGGCCCACTGGGATAATCCCAGATAATCTCATTTCAAAATCCTTAACCTGTGAAGACCCCTTTTTCATACAAGGCAACATTTACACCTTTGGGGACCATTATCAGCCTACTTCATGGACAGAAAGCACACAACGGAGTGCTGGTAAAAAAAGGATAGGGTCAAGAAAGATTTCACATTTTCAGGATTTAATTATACAGTTATGTGGGAGGCAGGGAATATGAGAAAAAGATTAAAAAGAGGAATAGGGAAATTTGGGATCGCACATTTTATTCAGTATAGTGGATAAGTGGGATAGATGTGTTGTGAAGGGATTATTTTTGCCAGATATTGGTTATTTTCTAGTTCAAATCCTTTAGCAGGATTTATCTATATTTTCGTTGTTATAGTTTGTAGGGTAAATGAAAGAAGCAAAAATCCATTGCCGTCAAGTCGATTCCAACTCATAGCGACCTTGTAGGACAGAGTAGAACTGCCTCATAGGGGTTTGAAGAGGAGCGGACGGTAGATTTGAACCGTTAACCTTTTGGTTAGCAGCCAGGCTCTTAACCATTACGCCACCAAGGCTCCAGTAGTATACCCTAAAAAAGAGCTGATGGAGGTGGGAATATACTTCATATGATTACAGGAAATTGGATAATTACTTTTTTAAATTGCAGAAGTTAACCTGTAAAGAATATCAAATGATTAATGAATGAGAAGATAATAGATAACTGTCGCAGTGGCGGCGAATGTCGGGACAGCAGAGACAGTAACCAAACACAACTCTTACAGAGAAGTGGGGCCAGGAGGGTCACTCTGAGGAGTCGACCCGGTCTTCAGTCCCAGGAGTTTATTTATTGTCAGTACAGCAAGCAGTGAAGCAAATAACAGAACAATGGGCTTTGGGTGAATAACAATAAGTTTCTGGCAAGGGAGAAGGAATTCAGGTAAACAAGCCAATCAGTAACGGGACAATGGGTTTGGGAAAACAAGTCGTGCCTAATCTCCTCCTCATCGCTGACAAGTCTCAACATGTCCTGTGCAGCATAGAGGCCTTTGAGGGGCTGAAGTTGTCAGTAGTGTAGCCATGTTTAAATGGCATATATCCCCACAGATAACCAGATATTTTTCTGGAAGTTAGGTAAGAATTATTCTCATTTAGAATATAAAAGAATGTAAAAGTTAATTTCTTTCTTTCTTTTTTTTTTACTGTTTCAGTTAAGGTAACTTAAAAAAAAATCATACTGAAATTTTTATTCTTTTTCTTTTTCCCATCTCCCTGACAGGTTCTTTGGCATGGACACAGGTTCAGTGGGAAGATTAGAATTGACTGAACAGACTCCTGTTTTATTAGGGGCTACCGCCATGGCAACTAGTCTCACGAATGTAGGAAATACGTTTAGTGGTCCACCTAATCCATTAGTCTCTAGATCGAATAAATTTCAGAACTCATCAGTGGAAGATGATGATGATGTTGTTTTTATTGAACCTGTTCAACCTCCCCCACCTTCTGCACCTGTGGTGGCTGATCAAAGAACTATAACATTTACATCATCAAAAAATGAAGAACTGCAAGGAAATGATTCTAAAACTCTTTCTTCCTCAAAAGAATTGGCTTCTCAGAAGGGAAGTGTAAGTGAAACAATTATCATTGATGATGAAGAGGACATGGAAATAAATCAAGGACAAGAGAAAAATTCCTCCAATTTTATTGAACGAAGACCTCTTGAAACTAAAAACAGAACCAATGATGTGGATTTCTCCACTTCCAGTTTTTCAAGAAGTAAGGTAAATGCAGGAATGGGTAATAGTGGTATTACCACAGAACCAGACTCTGAAATTCAGATTGCTAATGTTACAACCTTAGAAACAGGTGTAAGCTCTGTGAATGATGGCCAATTAGAAAATACTGACGGGCGTGATATGAACTTAATGATTACACATGTAACATCACTGCAGAATACCAACTTGGGAGATGTCTCTAACGGACTGCAGTCAAGTAATTTCGGTGTTAATATACAAACATACACCCCATCTTTAACTTCACAGACCAAGACTGGAGTAGGACCTTTTAATCCTGGTAGAATGAATGTGGCAGGAGATGTATTTCAGAACGGAGAATCTGCAACTCATCATAATCCTGGTAAGCAGTAAGTGATCTTCTGTCGATGAAAATAAATTTAAATTTTGGGCTGATTTTTTTTCCCCCCTATTCTAGTAATTAGTGCTGCCTTGTTTAGTTTCTGCATGTGAAATATTTTTAATTTTACCAACTTTTAAGCTTGAAATTTTAACTAATAAGGAGATACATAAAACCATGTATAGTGTTTCACTTGGAATTATTAGAAAATTAATGATTTATATATAAAGGGTTTTTAAAAAAAAACATTTACCATCATAGTGTGACAATTTGGCGTCTTATTTTTTATGTATTACTCTTTTTCCTAGTATCTTTTTACTAGTATTTTAATGTGAAAATTAGAGAATGAAAGGGAAAATTGCAAACTTAAGGAACAAAGTAATAATGTATAATAATTACATTTAGATTTACTTTTACTTTTCCAGCATGTGTGTGTTTTGTTTACATTATCTATCTCTGAATTTTAGTTTTTAGTCACCTTTTTATTATTTTCATTTTTGAGAGTTGGTACACTTCTTGATTGAAAAAATTTTATGCAAGCAGTCTTGCTCTGAAAACATTAAAATATGGAAATTATAAGAAGTTTGTGGCCTTTTTATGACCATCCCTGTATATGTACCTTTCTGTCCCTCTTCTGAGCCTCTGTTTGTCTGTCTGCTTCTGTCTCTCTATGTCTTTGTCTCATTCTTCCATCATTTTTAGGCTCATTGGCAGCTTTGTCAGCCTAGGAATTGTGGGGAATGAGAAGTAACTAAAACCTAGGTAGTGTAGAATACTCTGCAAAATGGCCTTGATTTTTCTTTTTTATTTACTCTTTCTAGTTATGAGAGTAATGCCTAATTATTGAAGAATATTTGGAAAAATCTATAATTAAAAATGACAGGGAAAATCCTATATAGCCTCACTAACAAAAGATAACCACTGTTCGTATTTTGGGTGTCTGTTTCCAGTCTTTTTTCTTTGTATTTTTTAACCTAGTGGAAATGCAACTTTATATAGTTTTGCTTCCTGTTTTTCCCAACTTAATATTAAATTGTGTTTTCTAATACCATTAAAATTACTTATACACAAAAGTTTTTGTTGCTGTCGTTAGCTTCGAAGAGTCAACCCCTGACTCATGGCAGCCACAGGCACGATGAGGTTAGATTGTTATGATCCATATGATTTTTTGCTTTGTTTTGTTTTTAAATTGTGGTGAAGGTATACATAACAAAACATAGCCATTTCAACAATTTCTACAGATACAGTTCAGTGACATTGATTACATTCTACAAGTTGTGAAACCATTCTCAGTATCCTTTTCCAAATTATTCTACCACTATTAACATAAACGCAGTATCCCCTGAGCAAAAACTCTCTCTTCTGCCTCCCTCCCACCCCAGGTAACCACTAATATATACTTGCTTATTTCATGTAAGTGATATTATTACAATATTTTCTTGCAACTGACTTATTTCGGTCAGCGTGATTTCAAGGTTCATGTTGTGGCATACATCAGGACTTCATTTCTTTTTATGGCTGAGTAGTATTGGAGATATATATATACACACACCACATTTTGTTTATCCAGTTATCTGAATGGACATTTAGGTTGTTTCCACCTTTTGGCTATTGTGAAAAGGGCTGCAGTGAACGTTGGTGTATAGTGTCTGTTTGTGTTCCTGCCGTTAGTGCTTCTGGTTATATACCTAGGATTGGGGTTGCTGGATCATATGGTAGTTCTGTGTTCAACTTTTTGAGGAACCGCCAAACTTTTCCACAGTGGCAGTAGCATTTTATATTCCCAACAGCAGTGGATGAGATTTCCAGTTTCTACACAACCTCACCAACACCTGTTGTTCATTCTAATAGAGGTGGAGTGGTATCTCTGCACTTTTGATTTGCATCGCTGTAATGGCTGATAACGTTTACATGTGCTCTCGTTGACCATTTGAATATCCTCTTTAGTGAAATGTCTGTTCAGATTCTCTGTTGATTTTTTTGATTGGGCGGTTTGTCTTTTTGTTAAACTGTAGACTTTTTTTTTTTTTTAAATATATTTTGGATATTAGATCCTTAACAGATAGAAGGATCTCAAAAATTTTCTCCCAGTTTATAGGTTATCTTTTCACTTTGTTGATAAAGTCCTTTGGTGAACAAAAATATTTAATTTTTATGAGGTTTCATTTATCTGTTTTGTCTTTTGCTGCTTGTGCTTTTGTTATCATCCCCGGTGATCTGTCATTAAAAACTAGGCCCCATAGCCATGCCCCTGTATTTTCTTTTAATAATGTTATGAATTTAATTTTTACATTTAGGTCCTTGATCCATTTTGAATTAGTTTTTGTGTATGGTGTGAGCCTTGGATCCTGATTCATTTTTCTGCATATGGAAATCCAATTTTCCCAGCCCCGTTTATTGAAGAAACTCTCCTTCCTCATTGAATGGATTTAGCACCCTTGTTGAAAATCAGTTGGCCATAGATATATGGATTTATTTCTGGACTTCCAGTTATATTCCATTGGTCTATATGTCTGTTGTTATACCAGTACTAGACTTTTAATTACTGTGGTTTTATAGTATGTTTTGAAATCAGGAAATATGAGTCTTGTTTTATTCGTCTTCAAGATTGCTTTAGCTATTCGGGTTCCTTGCCCTTCCATATAAATCTGGGGATTGTTGTTTCTATTTCTGTAAAAAAGACTGGTGGAATTTTGATGGGGATTATATTGAATTTATAGATTGCTTTTGGTAATATTGACAACTATATTAAGCCTTCTAGTCCATAAATGTACAATGTCCTTCCATTTATTTAGGTTGTCTTTGATTTTTGTTTTAGTAATGTTCTGTAGTTTTCTGTGTATAAGTGTTTCACCTTCCTCATTAAATTTATTCGTAAGTACTTTATTCTTTTAGATGCTTTGTAAATGTTTCTTTAGTTTCCTCTTCCGCTTGCTCATTGTTGATATGTAGCAACTGGACTTGTTTTTGTTGTATTGACTACATTCCCTGCCACCTTGATGAATTCATTTATTAGTTCTAAAAGCTTTTTTGTGGATTCTTTGGAGTTTTCTGTGTATAGGATCTTGTCGTCTGGGAAAAGGGATAGTTTTTACTTCTTTCTTCTCGATTTGTATAACTTCTTGGTTTTTTTGCTCGCCTGATTGCTCTGGCTAGGACTTCCATACTGTGTTGAATAGCAGTGGTGAGAATGGGCATCCCTGCTTGTTCTGGATCTTAATGAGAAAGCTGTCAGTCTTTCTCCATTGAGTATGATGTTAACTGTAGGTTTTTCATCCCTTTATTATATTGAGGGATTTCCCTTCTGTTCCTATCTTGTTGAATGTTTTTGTCATGAAAGGGTGTTGAATTTTGTCAAATGCTGTACACAAGTTTTAATGGCTGCAAAATCAGTAGTTGGCTTCCACATTGTTTCTTTTGTAACTTTTCTGTTACAGGTCTGTGGTGAACATCTTCGAGTTTCTTATTACTGTCTTAGAGTATATTCCTAGAAGTGAAGCTGCTAGGCAAAAGAATATGAATCCCCTCCCCCGTCAGAATTTTGGTTTAACAACTATATCTGGTTTATACTGGTTTTAAAAGAAATGTGTTCCTGATTTCTCAGTTTTGAAAATTTCTCTTTCCTCTCAAGACTACCCTTACCCTCAAATATGTATATATAATTGTGGGTAGGTGTTTTTGTGTGTGCATATTGGGTAGAGGGTAGTGGCGGTGGTATCTGGATGTGTTTGTGTGAGCGTATTTATAAGTTCTGGAAAAATACTGTCATGTTGCTTTCCAAAAAGGTCTTAGCAGTTCACTGCTATTAGCTGTGTATTGGAGTCCTGGGTGGCACAAATGGTTAAGAACTTGACTACTAGCTGGAAGGTGGGCAGTTTGAACCCATCCAGTGGTGCTTCCGAAGACAGGCCTGGGGATCTGCTTCCGAAAGATCACAGTCTTGAAGACCCTATGGGGCAATTCTGCTCGGTAAACACGAGGTTGCCAGGAGTTGGAATTGACTCAGTGGCAACTAACAATAACAACAGCAGCAGCTGTGTGTTTGAGTATTTTTTATTTTATCTTTCCAGCTTACACAAAAGTTTAAAAAAGATAATGCTCAACTTAGTTTTAAAAAAACCTTTTTGCCTTTTTCATGATTATATTAAAAACAAAAGTATAAAGAAGAAAATAACATTCAGTCTCACCACTGAAAATCAGTTAATTAATGGTACTTACAGTTTTGTAACCTGTTCCTTCCTACCTACTTTAAATACCTGATAATTGATCTTGAACTTTTGGCCGTGTTAAGTATGTTGTTATTGTCAGGTGCCTCGAGTCAGTGCCAACTGATAATGACCCTGTGTACAACAGAATGAAATACTGCCTGGTCCTGTGTCATCTTCATAATTGTTGTTACTCTCAAGCCCGTTGTTGCAGCCACTGTGTCAATCTCTTGTTGAGGGTCTTCCTCTTTTCTCGCTGACCCTCTGCTTTACCAAGCATGATGTCTTTCTCTAGGACCTGGGCCCTCCTGATAACATGTCCAAAGTATGGGAGATGAAGTCTCGCTATCCTTGCTTCTAAGAAGCGTTCTGGCTATACTTCTTCCAAGACAGATTTTGTTTGTTGTTCTGTGTTGTAGTGACTATTCTTCGCCAACATTGTAATTCAGAGGTATTAGTTCTTCTTAAGTCTTCCTTAGTCATTATCCAGCTTTCGCATGCATATGAGGCAGTTGAAAACACCATGGCTTGGGTCAGGTGCAGCTTAGTCCTTAAAGTGATATCTTTGCTTTTTAACACTTTCAAGAGACGTCTTGCAGCAGATTTGCCCAATGCAATAAATATATCATTTGAGTTCTTTTTTTTTTTAATATTATTTATTTTTATTGTTGTAATTAAATGAAGTTTACATTTCAAGTTAGTTAATCTCAGGTACAAAATTTTTTTTTTTTTTTACATACATTGTTATCAGACCCTAGTTGCTCACCCCATTGTGCGACAGCACACTCCTCCTTTCTGCTCGTTTGAGCTCTTGACTGCCTTTCCTTTGATTGTGGATCCAAGTAAAATGAAATCTTTAACAACTCTAATATTTTCTCTGTTTATCATGATGTTGCTTATTGGTCCGCTTGTGAGGACTTTTGTTTTCTTTATGGTGCGGTGTAATCCATACTGAAGGCTGTAGTCTTTGATCTTCATAAGTAAGTGCTTCAAGTCCACTTAACTTTCAGGAAGCAAAGTTGTGTTATTTGCACAGCACAGGTTGTTAATGAGTCTTCCTCCAATCCTGAGGCCTCGTTCTTCTTCATATTGTCCAGCCTCTTGGATTATTTGCTCAGCATACATATCGAATAAGTATGATGAAAGGATATAACCCTGATGCACACCTTTCCTGACTTTAAACCACACAGTATCCGCTTGTTCTGTTTGAACGACTGCCTCTTGATCTAAGTACAGGTTCCTCATGAGCACAATTAAGTGTTCTGGGATTCCATTCATGGCAATGTTCTCCATAATTTGTTATGATCCGCACAGTCGCATGCCTTTGCATAGTTAATGAAACACAGGTAAACATCTTCCTGGTATTCTCTGCTGTCAGCTAAGATTCATCTGACATCAGCAGTGATATCCCTCGTTCCATGTCCTCTTATGTCATGTGTATATGCGTGAAGTTTGTTGGTTATTTAACATAATCTGGTTTCTCCTCTTTGAGCAACTCTTCTTAAGAATATTCTTATACACATATTTTGGGACACGTACTTCTTTTGTAATATTGCTGGGTAAAAAGGACTGTATGTCATCATAAGAACTCTGTGCTCTTGATTACTAAAACCTTTACACAAGGAAAACTAAACAAACAAACCTGACTTGAATTTGCTTTTGCATTAATGTGCTGTTTTATTTGTAATACACTACTAATAGATCAAGAATTATAAAAACTTAGTTATTTATATTAGCTCTTGGACTAATTGCGACTTGAACGGTGTACTTAAACTGCTATCTCTTGTTTTCTCTTGTATGAAATGTAGGGTTTATACAAAATGATTTTGATACTTTCTACTCCTAAATTTTGTGTGTATGTGTATATGTTGGGAGAGGTGAAAATTTGGAAGTAGGCGAAAGTTGTGAGGTGCACGTATAGATAAAGGGAGCCATTATACATTATTTATAGCTAAATTGAATTTTAAAAAGTCGTAGGTTTAAAATCAAGTTAATAGATGCCGTTAAGTTTTAGATAGTCTACTTTAAGTGTGGATTCAAATGATAAGCCTCAAAGTTGAAAATCCTAGGGCGTCATACTTGTATTGCAAAATAGTATCCTTTCTAGCATATGTCCAAACATAATTTTTGATTGAAGGTCTTTATTTCCTTCATAAAATGAAATTGCTATTTAGTTTAGTGATTTTTTTTTTTCCCTTCATTGATTATTATTTTTTACCTGTTTATAAAAGTCTGGCAGTTCAGTTACTCTGGAGTTGGCAGGATAAATTAATTCCAGGATGTTCTCTGTTTACTCTGTGTATAAAGTGTGTGATTTTGTTTCTTCTTTTTTTAAATGGAATAAGAGAAAATCTAAATAGCAGTGTTATGTAGCTCTTTGAAACCATTAGGTTGCTGGAATGACTCAGAACCAGGAAACTGCCTTCAGGACTTTCAAAGTAAAGATGATTTCCTGAGGTCTTGTTATATATGCACTAGAGACTCAAAATCTACTTCCTCTGGAAGTTCAAAATTCAGAAGAAACCAGAAAGGGGAAAAAAAAAAAATATATATATATATATGTGTGTGTGTGTGTATATATATGTATATA